GTGAAGATGGAGAGGCTGGGGTGACAAGACGCTGGCCCCTTTCCCTGGTAAGAAGACCATGTGGAAATACATAGAAATGGGTTAATACTTAAGACAGAGCTAGCCGATAAGAAACTAGTACCTGGCCAACAGAATTATATCAAATACAGAGTCTCTGTGTGTTAATTGGGGCTGGCGCGGCAGCGGGACAAGACCGGGTGGCGGGTGGAAAAACCGTACTCCTTACATGGGACTTCAGGGCACAGAGTGAACTATGGAAAGAAGGCAGCCCTGCAAGCCTGACACAGAGGGAACACACATGCAGAAGGAGAGGTAAAAGGCACAAGTCATGTGACAACACATAGACAAATAGAAATGGGTTAAGTTTTAAGATCTAGTGGGTCAAGCCTAAGCTATAGGTCAAGCTTTCATAATTAATAGTAAGTCTCCATGTCATTATTTGGGAGCTGGCTGGCAGGACAGAGAAAGACTCATTACAGAGTAGAGATGTCAAACTGACTCAGACAAGATGCTTAGGACAATAGGTATTACATCTTTTGAAACTGAATATTGCCTACTATACACAGATTATACATGAAAGATAGTAGGGAAGGTGAAATAAAGACAGAGAGGAAGAATATTTAGAAGCTGCTCAAGAGAATGAGGATTAAGTGGTGAGTCTGCCATTACACAGTGGATTATAAAAATGAAAGTGCAAGAGCTTAGCTGCAAGCCTGTAATCACAGCATTTGAGAGGCTAAGGTAGGACCATCAGTTCAAGGCCAGCACTGGCTACACAACAAGTCAAAGAGAGCCTTAGCTACATGAGATCTGGTCTCAAATAAAGAAAGTGAGCTCAGAAAGTACATGAAGGCTAGAAATAAATCTGAGTAATCATTATGAACTGTCATTGAAAGCACGACTTAAAAACACAAAGCAGCAGGTATAAAATGGGTCTGTGAGGAACTGAGTCAAGAAGACTGCAGAGGACAGTCTCTGGAAACCATCCACTGTAGCCCACAGGGAGAAGCTGAGAGCAAGAAGCTACTATGTTTTCTTTGGTGTTCCTCTCCCTAAACATTCTAGACTGCCCCAGCAATGCCTTCAAAGAAACAGAACAGAGATTCCCCCACATGGAGCCTTCTCAGTTCCAGCTCCCATCACACCTAATGCCCTGTCATACATCCAAAGCAGGAAGACAAGCTATTTCAATCAGTTCTTCTAGATCAACAATCTCCACTCCACGCAAGCATGTCTCCCCCTCCAAGACTTGTTTTTCTGTCACTTATTATCAGTGGCCCTGCTAGAAAATAAACATTGCACCAGGATGTGTTCTCACACCTGGCTTATATAGGGATATTGTGTACCTGTTGAGTGGCTTAGGGTTTGAACTAAAGCAGGTCTACAGTGTTACTAGCCGAGCATCAGCCTCTCTGCCTAGGTCTATGTGGTGTGTCCCTCTGACAGATCCCCAGCCTTAGTCCCTCCACATGTGCCACTGGAAGATGCTCTTTGGTCCTCTGAATCAGCACAGCAGATCTGGAAATAACTTGCTGAGAAAGATTTAAGGTCACAGAAGAATAACTGAGGCACTAATAACCACTTTGGGAATGGGAACTTGTCGGGGCCCACACTTCTGACACAGCACAGTTGAGGAGGCTCAAGATCACATTCCCCTTCCAAGGGCAAGTTCTTTGGCCAGAGTTCCTCGAGTAGCACCGCAGCACCACCATCAGGACACCTGAAGAACTACTGTGCCTGCAACTGGATTAATCTAGAACAGGGATCATCTCTTGGCTAACTCCTGCCTTGTGTCATCCGATAAACCTGCAGCAGAAGTAGAGCAGGCACTGCTCTACTAGGCTAGAGTAAGAGAAAGCCAGAGATTACAGCTTCAGTCTTATCTGTCTATAGCAGGAGGCCTTGAAAGGCGATCACTCCCTGTATCACATCTCCAGGTGACCACACCTCCTTTGAAGGTTCCTGCAGTAACGTTGTAAGTAAAACAAAATCTGTCAGTACACAGCAAGAACCAAACATGTACCAGACCACTCAAATCCAGTTCTAGTTGCCCAGCTCTGAGGGACAGGAGAGACAAGCCAGCCACACAAAATTGTTTCCTTTCAAGTTAGCCAGAGAAGGAAATAAAATCAGACTCGGGCATAAATCAGATTTTTCAATAGGTATCCAAAATATCTAGTTCATATTGTTTGTTCCACAAAAAGTAACTCGAAAAAGCAGTGTATGAAAAATAGGAGTGTGGTATTGTGGGGCACACTGGTAATCCAGCACTAGAGAGACTGCAAGAGCATAGAATTCAAGACCAGTGTATACTTTACAAGGGAGTTTAAAACAAACCTATGCTGCAGTAAGCCCTGTAAACAAAAAAAAAAAAAAAAAAATGGGAGAGAATTTTTCTTATGGGTTATCTTTAAAATCATTTTAAAAAGTCTATATCTTGACTGGGTGAAAAGAGGGAATCAGGACATTTAACAACATGAATTCTACAGTCAGTGAGTGAGAAAAAATAGTCCAAGTAAGAAACAGACTATTATGCAAGAAAAATAATTATGTAAACAAAATTTACATCATAAACTTAAATAAGCAATGTAAAAATGTATACTCTGAGCAATTAAAGCAACTGAAAAGAAAATGACTCTGTGTGGTGGAGGCACAAGCCTTTAATCCCAGCACTTGGAAGGGAGAGGCAGATGAATCTCTGTGAGTTTGAGGCTAGACTGGTCTTCAGAGCTAATTCCAGGATAGGCTCCAACGCTACAGAGAAACCCTAACTCAAAAAACAAAAGAAGAAAAATAAAATGATGTAGCTCTCTTATTAAAGAATAAATAAAAATTAATGTTGTGGGACTAGAGAAATGGCTCAGCAGTTACTTTTGATTATCTTCCAAAAGATCTGAATTCAGTTCCTAGCACTTACATGGCTGCTTACAACAACCATCCATCACTCCAGTTTCAGGAGATCCAATAAACTCTAAAGAGTGTTGTGAATGCAGCTTCATTGCCTAGCATGCAAAGCCTAAGTTAAAACCCTAGGACAATATGAACCAAGAACAGTGATGCATGCCTGTTATAATCCTAGCACTCAGAAGGTGGAGGCAGGAAGGTCACAAATTTAAGGTCATCCTCAGCAACATATCAAGTTCAAAGCCAGTCTGAGCTACATGAGAATGTCCCAAAATAATGACGGTGATGGTGGTTAAGATTGATTGAGACAGATAAAACAATCCAATCTTACCCAAAGTATTTGACTAAGAGTAGAACACATAAATATCACTAGAGCACCATTAATGTTAAATGAAGGTCTTTATTGTAAGCACCTCTTCGATGTTTACTTTTCCTTTAAATAGGCTAAGATGTTGGGAACAGGGTGTTTTGATTCCTTAATTGACAGCTGTTAGGCCCTTCTCTGGAACCCAGCTGGCATGAGTAGAGCATTACCAACCAAGCAGCCACCTGGACCCTGTTTATGGCAGTCTATCTACCTCATAAATACCTTCAGGAAACTACATTCAATCACATCTGCTTGTTGCACACAACTCCAGCTCCAGAAAGAACTGTAACTGTTACATCGAACACCATAGAATCAACTTTTTCAGTGAGGCTCAGTGAGCTTTAGCAGCTATTTTCACCCAAACCAGTCAGGGAGCATCTCTCCTGGTGGCCAGAGAAGCCTGGCCAATTCATACAAACATACCTACCACAACCTCTTTTCTGATTATAAAAGCAATGCAGGCTATCAGCTGACTTTAAGACACCTTTCTGGGCTGCACCCTAGTGTTACAATCAACCCTAGGTCCAACAGAGGGCTTCTTGTAAGCAGCCTTTTGCTGTTGTTCTCTTTGAGATAAGATCTCATGTAATGTACATGCTGGCCTCAAATTCACTGAAATGACACTGATCCTGATCCTCTGCCTCTACCTCCCAAGTACTTTGATTACAGGAATGTACTACCATACTTAGCTTTTCTTGCTTACTTTTGGTAGTATCAGTAAGAGAACAGGCTGAGCTGGTAATATAAGAAATGGAGTAAGAACAGCAGTAATAGCAGTGAAAGGGTAGCCAAAGAGATCTAGAAAGTGACGTGGGTGGGAAGTAGAGGGGGCAGAGATGACAAACAGCGTAGAGATGAAAAGGAAGAACTGGAGGCCCTTATACATGGGCCAACAATTCCAAAAATCTACCAAGGCTTAAATGCCAAGAGTCTTAAGGTGTAAGAACCACAGAACTGATCATTGTCAAAGGCCAACCATCCCAGACACCCTGGTCACTATAGGAGCTAAGGGTTTCAATATCCAAGGTCATTCAAGAGCTGTAACATCAGCAAGTGTTGTATGCCACCACTGCCCACTGCTGTTGCTCATGGCTATTGGAAGCAAAGGATTGTAATAGTTGGCAAGTGTTTAAAGCTTACAGCAGTTAAGCCTTCAACTTAAGTATCAAGACCAGAATTCTAAGACTTGTAAGGCCTACTGTCTCTAGCTCTCTAGGCTTGAAGACTTACGCTTCTGGTTCTGCCAGTCCAGTTCCTATGCCACGGGGACTCAAGGACTGGTGACTGCTAGTACTAGAACTTCTTGCCTATCCACAATTCCTATCTATATAGAACAAGCCAAGTGATAACAGATGTGGGAAAATCAATGTGTATATTTTTAGAGGGTAAGTTAGCAATATTTATAAAAGTTTATTAAAACTAGTATGACTTTCTAATCAGGCTAACTAGTGGTACATACCTATTATCCAAATACTTAGGAAGTTGAAGCAGAAAGATCAAGTTCAAGGTCAACCTGGACTACAGAGTAAGATCTAGTTTCAAAACACAAGACACAGTATTCTAAATCTAAATAAATAAATAAATAAACAACTCATGTGATTTTGTCTAAGGAAATAACCTAGCCATGGGCAATATTTCTAAAAGGAAAGTGTAAAAGATTCCTATGTCTGACAATGGGGAACTTATTAAATGAAGCAGCTATGTCTACTCAGCAGAATACTATGACAAATTAAAAATTACCAAATATCTTTATTGACTCTAAGATATGACAACTATTACAAAAGAAAACATTAAGTAACCTTAAAACACATTTTAATTGATTTAATATATTTTTATATATCTATACATATACAACAAAGAAACTAACACAAGACATCTCTAAGTGATAATAAAGGCTGTTTGGATAAACTCACATGGTTTAAGTAGTAAGAACAGTTAACATTATTTCTTTTACTAAGCAGGAAGTTTTGTAATGAACTTCTCAGATTGAAGTGGGAACAAGCAGGCTCCTGTGCTAGGACACCTCTCTACAGAACAGGTACATCCACCCTACCTGTGTAGACTAGGCTGAGTTAAAGACCAGCCTAGTCTACACAGTAAGTTCTAGGCCAGTTAGGGATTCACAGTGTTTTGGGGAAGGGGTGCCCATGGTTGTTGACAATGTGCATAAGAACTTCAGAAGTCTTACATCCTCTATAGCTCAGAACCATGATGCCTCTGCAAGGTGTCCTGGTAATTGTGCTTCTGGTGTGGCCTAGGCTGTATATCTTTTCTCTCCTTCATGCTTGGCCTTGTGGTACTTGAGGTAATCGCTATGCAGCTCCTTAAAGACATCTCGTGCTCCAGGCTGTAGTGAGGCCCGCAGAAACTGGATATCACGCTCCATGCAGAGATCCAAGATGAGATAAATCCCCTCCTGGAGCAGGTTCTTCACAGCTGGGTACAAGGTTACCTGGGAAGAAAGGAGGACTCTAAGCACAAATCAGGGACAGATCAGACAACATGTTGAAAACTCTCTGAAGAGCTCAGCAAGCAGCATGAAATGGGTGCAGTCACGGATCCCTGAGCTTCAGACTTTCTAAGACAAAGGCAGTTTCTACAACTAGAATTAACGGTCAATGAATAAACACATTCCAGCAGCTTCAAAATTCATTGGGTGGATGAATTATTAACTACTCATCCCAAGCTAGCAATATAGAGAGACTATTGTAAACCTGATCTGGAAGTAAAAGAGCAAAACACTGGAAACATCTTAGTGTGTTTTCATTGGGACTCCTCACCACAAAGAGCAGACAAAACAAGGAGACTTATGGGCTGCAGCATCTCCTGACCAACAGAGTCTCCCGAGGACATCTGCTGTCCCTCACAGGTCCTCCCACAACAACCAGTTTACAGAAACACAGGGAATAAATGCAGAGATCTCTCTGGCTGTCTTTGCTCTTGAGCATTTAATTAAAGCTAAACATGCTGCCTGGGAGAATTTATGGCTTTCAGTAGCAGTCTCTAATGCATATGGAGTATTTTCTTCATTACTAAATTTAAAAATAAGTGATAAAGATAAGACTTAGACTTCTGCCAACAGAGTCTAGGATGTAATGGCCTTAAATAACTCACAAGGCCTTTTCGTTTTCAAGATTAAAACAAAACAACAAAAATGGACAAGTTTAAATTAGAGATGAATAATGAAGCCAGAGATTTCATAAAGTAAATTTTAGAATATGACTTAAGAGTTCCAATTATCACTTGCCTTTTTGTCCCTCAACGAAGTGAAATTACTATGTCTCATTTCATTCTCCAGTTAAAAAGTACAAGTTTTTCTTCCATCTAAAGTTTTTATGTTAGTGATTCACATGTTTGGGAAATATCAAGCTTCAGTAAAACTCCAAAATACTCAGAAGGAAATCAAATTACAAGTCCTCATGTCATTTTAGGACCACTGGAATTATCTTTTCATGTATTTACTTAGCACTGCTGCCCCCTTTTGTCCCCCAGTCCAGCCAAAGTTGCTAGGATAATGAGAAGGTGGAAAGTTACTCAACAGTTACAGTTACTTGAAATAGGGAAGGAAACAATCTAGAAAGTCTGTTCAACCAAACCTCATTGGAGAAATGCTGACTTCTCTAACCAGACATTCCACTATAATGGTCTACTACCATGCATGCCAGAGACCCCAATAGCAATCAGGCACACCAGACTATTTCCCAGATAGAAAAGCATGTAAATGTTTTTTACAAATACAAGCAAAAGCCAAGCAGTGGTGGCACACACCTTTAATCACAGTACTCAGGAGGCAGAGGCAGGCAAATCTCCCTGGTCTAGAGTGAATTCTAGGACAGCCTCCAAAGCTACAGAGAAACCTAGTCTCAAAAAAACAAAAACAAACAAACAAACAAAAAAAACCCCAACAAACAAAACAAATACAAGTAAATGGAGATAAATATATCCTATATTCATGACTGGCACACTAGCATTCATTAATCAAAGTAAAGTTCCAATGTCATTTACAATCTTAAACTGCCCTGACCATGGGGCGCCAGAAGCTTACGGAAATGTGAAAATAGTGCATGGACATATATGCAAACAAGTAACTCTTAATGATAAATTCATCATTAAAAACAGTAATTCCAAAGTCAGATAAATTTGAACAAAAATCACCAGTAATGAATTTCCCAGTGTGTCTTCCCTATAGTCTGCTCTGAGTGTCTAGGAGCAGCTGAATGTGATAACTACCCCAGAACTCGCTTTTCTAGATTCTGCTGGAGCCATTAGAGTCCTTGGTTCTTGGCCCTGGGTGACATTTCATTTGCCTGTTGAATAACAAGCAAAGGAAAGAGGCCCAAGTCTGTTCTGGAACCAGACATCTGGAAGTCCTGAGCAACTTCAGTCTGGCTCTAATGACCCTTACATCCCTCAGTCCTGACCATAACTCCATAAGGCTGATTATCTCCCCCCCCCCACCCCCCCTCCCGGCCCACACACACACACCATGTATAGGGAAAGCCACTGCTGTGAGCCTATCACTGCTATTTTTGATAAAAAGCTATGCTCTAAGACTGTGAATGGAAACCCCTGATGGACATGTTCAGCCTGGGTTTTACCTTCTGTGCCTCTGTCACATACTGGGACACCAGGAATGGAGAAAATGTGGTGAACTCCTCAGCTCGAGTAGCAATGTGGCTATACATCCTTTCCACCAATCGTGCACACTCAAGGACTACTGGCAGGTCATCCATGTTTCCTATAGATGGAAAATGATTAGCTTTGAAATGACAAAAGCATATCTTCTAGCCCTATAATCTTACTAAAAATAGAATTGACTGCAACCCTCTACTCTTTCCAGATTCTAACTGGCTTATTCTGTAGACAAAAAATAAGGTAAAGGATATGTTCAAACATAACAGTAAAATCACAATATTCAAGTCCATGTATTGGATTTAGCAGACATATTTCTGGGGAGTAACTAAGATGCTGTTTCCAGGGAGGATTAAGTGAGCAGAAAAGACCACCCTGAAATATACAGCAGGATGGTCCTAGGCTGAAAATGGGAGAAAGGAGTAAGGAAGCCAAATGAGCACCAGCATTCATATCTCTCTACTTCCTAACTACAGACACATGTGACCAACCACCCCATACTTCTGTCTCCATGATGGACTTTATCTCCTCAAACTGTAAGCCAAAATAAACCTTTCCTTAAGCTGCCTTTGTAAGTATTTTTACCAGAGCCAGGAGAAAAACACTAATACAATATCTAACTAGAAAAATCAATAGATTTCATGATTGCTATCATTATTTTAAAGGAGATAGATTACTATAAGCAGGATCAAATGAAGATTATCTTCAAGAGAAATGGTTTATTGAGAAGATTTAAGAGTCCCACATTACATCTTTGCCTCCATCAGTTTTAAAAACTGTCTGTGGAAGGTTTCCCTTTCATAGGCAAATGGAGATAAGATACGATGTCATCAGCAGACAATTCCTACCATATCCCTATCTTCCCAGAGTCACTTCTCACTCCCAATGCTCTCTTGCTATTCAGTGTAGGTCCATCTAGTTCCTGTGCTCCCCGAGCCTGCCTTGTCTTGGTAGAGAGCTCTGGCCCACCCTACAGCCTTTCAAGCTTTGCTGAGCACACCGATAGCTATAATTTTATTTATAAATCTGGAAAATGCAAACAAACCCAGGAACAAAAGGTAGACTAGTTGTTGTTCAGGGTCAGGTCTACTACAGAGGCACAGAACTCAAATAGGAGTTGAAACAATCTATATTTTGATTATGGTGTGGCTTTACTTTGTTCTTAACTGTCAAACAGATGAAGTTAATCATTCATACATTAAACCTCAATAAAACTGATTTATAGTATGTACAGTAATTTTTTATAATAAACACGCAGACATCTTTAACAAATGTAGTTCTCTAGATCAATATAATTTCTATGAAATTAAGTTAATATTTGGGAAGTATGTCATAAGGCCCAAATTGTAGCCATGTGCTTCATGACCTAACATTCTACTGCTTTTCTTTTCAGACAATATGAGTAAGTAACTGTCACTGATTATTGTAGACATTGACTTCATGCACAATCATAAGAGTATACTAGAACCCAATAAAGAGAATAGAACTGTGGGTGCTGTAAGTATATAGAATACTCTTGGGAATTAGAGAGGACCAAGGCTAGGTCAACATGAAGCACATGTTTCCATGCATGCTCAGAACATGTGGCAAGGGACAAGCTTGATGAAGCATGCAACCACACTGTACTTCCAGTCCACAGCAAGGCCTGCCTCCCTGGATAGACCAGGGGAGATATCACCATCCTAATAGTATCTTGGGATATTAAAGAACCTCAACAGAAACTACAGGCAGTCATTACATACCAGCAAAGGCTATCAGACAGAAGGAACTTGTTACTAGCCCTACACATCAGTAGATTTTTAATATTAGGTTAGCACATAGACTGTGCCATGCTGTGCTAGCTGTCCACAGGTGGGCAGGGAAAAGGGAGAACTACAAAATTTATCAATAGCGTCCAATCTCAATCTCTTCGCCCCAGAAACACCAGATGCATCCACAGTTTGGGATACAGAAAATGGGATGATCTGAATTAGTTAAAAAAGAAATTATCTTGAGCCAGGAGGACAGGTATAAGTTTGAAGCCAGTCTGGTCTACCTAAGGAGTTCTGAGCCAGCCAGAGCTACATAGTGAGACCCTGTTTCAAACAAACAAAAATTATCTAGAGAGATGCCCTGGTTAAGTTGTATTTAGTTTTGTTTTTATTTTTGTCAGCTTAACCTTAGCTAGAATTATATGGGAAACAGAACTGCAACTGAATAAGATGCCTCCATCATATTTCCTGTAGGTAAGTCCTTAATAAAATAGTACATTTCTTTTAATGATTCATGTGGGAAGGCCCATGCCACAGGGGACAGTGCCACCCTTGGGCAGATGGTACCGAGTTGTGTAAAATAAAAGCAGGTTGAGCAAACCACAGAGAGCAAGCCAGCAAGCAGCACTCTTCATGGCCTCTGCTTCAGTTTCTGCCTCTTAAGTTCCTGTCCTGACTTCCATCAATGACAGAGTATAGCTTGAGAGTTGAAAGCTGAAAGAAACCCTTTCCCCCTATCAAGTTGCTTTTAGTCATAGTGTTTTATCACAACAACAAAAATCCTAGCTAAGACAAGAGGCTGAGAGAGAGAACTTGATTAAGATCCAGAGGACCCAAGTTCCATTCCTAGCACCCATATCAGGTGGCTTAAAACTACCTGTAACTTTAGTTCTAGAGCAGCAGATACCCTCTTTTGGTCTCAACCAGAATTAGAATTATACACAATACACAATACACACACACACACACACACACACACACACATTTTTCAATAAATTTTTTCTTGAATATTCACTTGATAATCTGAACACTTCTCATGTGATCTCAATTTGGTGGTTTTGTTTTCAGCAATATTTATGGCCAGAAGCAATGCATGATAAAATACACTTAAATCTGTGTACCTGATGCCATTACTCTAAATTACCTTTGTCTTTCTGCTGTCCTTCATGCATAACTGAAAACAATAGTCTATTAAATGAGTTCAAGAAAGATGGAATAGCCTTCAGCATCACCTGTGGTATTAAAGGAACACAGAACAGAAACAGGTCAGTGATCTTTTGTCTGTTTACCTGGCAGGACATATCTTGCTGTGCAGCAAAGATACTTATTTTTTGCTAAAATGACTGAGTAGCTGGCTCACATCTAGCTCCTTAATTCTTGTTTTAACGTTTTAGGGAGTAGGGGTATCACATTACACATTTCAAAATTTGGGGGTCACCCTGATTTAAAATTTGCTGAGTCTGTGCTTTCTCTACACTGGTTCTAATATACCCTAGAACATACATAGAATAGTTTTTTGGTTTTTTGCTTTGTTTTGTTTTTTTTATTAAAGATTATATAAATGCACTTAAAATGAGGACCAAACCATCTCAAATAACAGTCCTGCTTGGGACTTTCCCTTGAACACTGAGACTAGATAACTCTTTTAAGAAGCCTGCTCCTAGAAATGAAGAGATAACTAAGTGGTTAAAAACAGGTCCTCTTGCTGAAGACGTTGGTTGCCAGTACTCACATAGAAGCTCACAACCATCTGTTTAAAATTCTAGTTCCAAGGGATCAGACACCCTCTTCTGACATCATGAGCCCTGTATACATGCTATACATTCATACATGTAGATAAAACATCCCTACACATAAAATCTTTTTGAAAAGCTCACTCCTAGCCTTCTCGAGGATCTAAAACCACCCTCCAAGTGCTTCTCCCTTCCCCACTCATTTTCTATTTATAAAAATTGTTCAGTATGTATCACTGACTGGCCTGAAATTCATATGTAGACCAAGCTGGTTTTCAAACTCAAAGCTCTCCTCCTGCCTTTGCCAAGCGCTGATCAATGCTACTACACCAGGCAATTAAAGCCCTTTCTCAATAAACTATAATTCGTTAAAGAAAGAAACAAACAAACAAACAAAACAAAACATGCTTTTTTAAATCTTTGTGTATCTGTGTGCACACATGGTAATGTGAGTGTGGCTACATGCATGCCACAGCACACATGTAGAGGTCAGAGGACAACCTTAGGTGTTGGTCCTTGCCTTCTACCTTATTTTTGAGACACAGCCTTTTTGTTGTTCATTGCTCTGTTCTCCAGACTAGCTGACCCTCAACCTTCCAGGGATTCCCTCTCTCCACCTCCTATCTTGCATAAAAGCATTGGAATTACAGACACAGGCTACCATGTCCATGGATTCTGGGGATCCAAACTGGGCTCTTCACACTTACATCTCCCCAGCCCCAAACATGTTTTCTTTACACCTCACATCAGGAACATAACCACAATGTCCAGCCAAATAACAATGAGTTTGTGTAAATTTAGTTAGAATGAAGCAAAATTAAACATGCAGCTCCTAGTTATATTGACCACATTTAAAGTGGCTAATGGGTCACATACTGACAACACAGGCACCACTGAATATTATTTGCTGGACCACACTGCTCTACTGGGGGAAAAAATGTAAAGTACTAGAACAATTCTCTATAATATGATTAATCCAACAAAATTCAGACAACATCACAGCAAACCTTTCATACTGTTTTTTTTTTTTTTTTTTTTTTTTGGCAACAGGTTTAAGAAGCTATTTTTATGAAAGTATCCAAGGGTTTCATCAATGCTCAAGTTCTCTCTGAATCCTTGTTACACTGATGAAAAGATATCAAGTCCAGACCAAACTATCTAGCTCCACAATGACACCTTTGTTAACTTCACAAATCGGTCTTTTGTATGTGCCTCATTTTTCTCATTTGCAAAATAAAGATAACAGGTCATCATGAGAAAATAATTATAATGTGAGGGTTTCTCATCATAGTTTCTTCCTAGGGTCTAGTCAATGATAGCCACATGCTATATCTTCCAGATATAGCTGAGAGAATTCTATCTGGGTGTTCACAGGTATGTGGACCTAACAAAATGCATTGGCTTCTTTCAGGTATGTGGACCTAACAATATGCATTGGCTTCCCTCATGAGACAGGAAAGTGTAAGGTGAATGTTAGTTGCTTTAATCACTCACATCACCCTGTTAATATCAAGCTGTTGGTGTTCCCTATACATTGAAGTCCAAACACTAAATACTCATGTGTTAGTAGCTTTGCAGGAATCTGTTTCCTAATCTTACTTTCATCACTTTTAGCAAGATCTGCAGTCTCAGACTGTGATGGATTTGTGCAGCATTTGTTTTATACAGCCACATAACAGTTAATAATTAGTCAAAAATTTTCTTATCAAAGATAGTGAGGGACATAGAAGGCAGGGCTAAAGGTGCCAGCTGGAAAAGTCTTTGGAATAGACCACTTCTGATAAAAATGGTATTGCTGGGGAGATAACTTGGTGGGTAAAGGTGTTTGCCATGCATGTCTGATGGCCTGAGTTCAATACTTGAATGTGCTAGTTAGTTTTATGTTAACTTGACACAAGCTAGAGTCATCAGAGAGGAAGAAGCCTCAATTGAGAAAAATGCCTCGTAAGATCCAGCTGCAAGGCATTTTCTTAATTAATGATTGATGGGATAGGACCCAGCCCAATATGAGTTAGACCTCCCTGGGCTGGTGGTCCTGGGTTCTATAAGAAAGCAGGCTGAGAAAGCCATGAGGAGCAAGCCAGTAAGCAGCACCCTCCACAGTCTTTTGATGGGGGACGTCCTTCTGTATATGTTTCTCTTATTGGTTGATGAATAAAACACTGACTGGCCAGTAGCTAGGCAGGAGTATTGCCAGGGCTACCAGATAAGAAGTCCGGGGAGAGGGAACAGGGAGAAGCAGCCAGAGAGACACCATGTAGCTACCTGGAAGATAGGATACCAGGCATTCTATGTAGAAATACATAGATTAATAGTTATGGGTTAATAATTAAGAGAGAGCTAGCCAGTAAGAAGCCTAAGCCATTGGCCAAACATATAAGTCTCTGTGTGTTTATTTAAGACTAAATGGCTATGGGACTGGGGGAGACACGACACGGGACAGAGACCTCTGTCTACAGTCTCTGAATCAGCTCCTGCTTCCAAGTTCCTGCCCTGCTTGAATACTTGTTCTGGCTTCCTTCAGTGATGGACTATGATGTGGAAGTGTAAGCCACATAAACTCTTTTCTCCCCAACTTACTTTTGGGTCATGGTGTTTCATCATAGTAATAGTAACCCTAATTTTAACACTGGACCTCAGAGAGAATTGTCTCCACAAACTTGTCCTCTGACTTTCAAACACACATGATAGCATGTATGTATACTATTTTTAGATTATCAAAAATACTTAGAAATATTTCGATATGTATGTGTACATGAACATAGATAATATTTATGAATTCCTAATGATCACATGTATTAGTGGTGGTATATGAAAAGAACCCTGACCAAAGGTATCAATAGGCTTAGGCTAACACTCATATTTAATCAAGTGGCATTAGTCAAAATATTCACTGAGCCTTCATATCCTCATCACTAAAATAGGATTACCACATGCTTTACAGAACTACTATGGGATAAAGTAGCAAATGTTCAACAAATGATAGTTGGCCATACTCTCTTCTATAAGAACTATATTCCTAGCCTCTGAGGTATAACATAAACAGTAGCAGACTATAAACTCAAGACCCTTACTCCCTTTACCATTTGAATTATAAACCCAACACATCTAAGCAAGGTAGTGATTTTTTTGGGGGGGGTGTGTGGTTTCTCTGTGTAATAGTCCTGCCTGTCTTGGAACTCACTTTGTAGACCAGGCTGGCCTCAAATTCATTGAGATCGGCCTGCCCTGCCTCCCAAGTGCTGGGATTAAAGGCATGTACCATCACAATAAGGTAGTGACTTATTTAAATACATCACCAGCAAACACTAAATAATGGGCCTCCTTTGTATAATATATGACACCACTCAGAGTATCAGATGTGGCAAAGAACTGGAGCGGCCTGAAAAGTAGGTCAAGTATTTCTATGTTTACATACCAGAAATTATTGGAAGCAAAGTCTGTAACAGAGGAGCTTTATTTTCTTGCTTTTCTTTAGTTTTCTGTCTCTTTGCTTTTATTTTTAGTGGTAGTAAGGATTACACAGGAGCCTCTCACACACACATACCACTGAGCAGTCCCCAGCCCTGCTGCTGCTCCTCTAGAAGCTGCCATTCCCAGCTCACATCAGAGCAGCTGCAGTCTTCCTCCTCTCACCTTAGAGTGGCACTGCAAGATGGAGAATAGCACATTATGCATCTTCAGGAAGACACTACCAAACTCCAGTGGCTTCAGGTGGTCCAGAGGGACTGTGAGCAAGATGTTAAAAGCCAGACTGACATGGTGAGGGTTGCTGATGGTCTCCTCCCCTTTCCTCAGCAGAACAGCCAGGACATCAAGAATAGGCTCAACCACTACTAGGGCCACAGGCTGTTCCTGGCAGGCCTCTCGGTGTTGCAGCTATGAAGCAAGACAAAGAAAAGAAAGTAAAGGTGACCCTACAAAGTAATAAAAATCACTAAAGTTCTAGGTGACAAAGGTAGGCTGGCTATGCTCTACAAGAAAGTGATATGAACAATCAACAATCCAAAGGGTCAAGGAAGCTATCATCCAGTCTCTATAGACCTGGCTGCTTCAGCTCTCACATTTTATTGAGTGCATCTACCATAAAGACAAACCATTTCTTAAAAAGGAACAGACACACCCATTTTTTTTTTAAACAAGGAAGCTGCATGTCAGACATGTATAACAGTGTTTTCCCAAAACAGAACATCAGTTCCAAAATGCCTGTGATTATGAAACAGGACTAGTTAAGATTTTCAGTTACTGTCATAGAAAATAAGAGAATAGACTCAACATAAAGGACTTCCTTGTGTTGTGTAATATTATTTGAAGATGTGTTACCTTTGTTTACGCTGTGGAATATTTGCTTAACGATGCAAAGATGTGTTGCATTCTTTTATTTAGCATTTGTTTAACTCTGTGACGCTTGCCTGTCTAAAACATCTGATTGGTCTAATAAAAAGCTGAACAGTCAATAGCAAGACAGGAGAAAGGATAGGTGGCGCTGGCAGGCAAAGAGAAAATAGTAATTTGGGAAGAGCAAGATTGAGGAATAAGAAAAGGAGGAGGAAATCAGAGGCCAACCACCCAGCTATACAGCAAGCCACAGACTAAGAAATAAAGAAAGGTATACAGAAATAGAGAAAGGTAAAAGCACAGAGACAAAAGATAGATGGGATAATTTAAGAAAAGCTGCCTAGAAACAAGCCAAGCAAAGTCTGGGCATTCATAAGTAAGAATAAGCCTCCATGTGAGATTGTTTGGGAGCTGGGTAGCAGGTACCTGCAAAGAGCCAAAAGAGTTTAAAACACAAAAAACAAAACTACATTCCTGGATCATCTAGAAAGCACCCCTATGGCTCCTAGTTTGACAATAAGTATCTAAGAAGGCATTTGGGTCCTGAATCTTACAAGTACCATCATTCTGAAGGGAACATGGGTCTGTAGCCTATCTGCCACGCACATTAGAAACTCAAGTGGGTTCCAACTTGGTGCATATCAATGTGGTCAATACACACACTGTCACCATTATGGCTACCCATCAGTATGTTCCATACCCCACTCAATAACTTGCTTCTCTACTGTCTGCTCAACACACACATATGTGGGGAGAATGGCATGCTTCAGCACAGGCCTTTTGGTTTTACAGATTTTTAGGGAAAAGACAAAGGAACAAATTAGAAAACAGAAGGAACATGCAGTCTAGTTTTGAGGCCCTTTAGCTCTGGAAATATGCTGATTCATGACAATTCTCTTAAACAGCAAAAGTTATAACCGGATGGTAATGATGCCAAATAGGCACTGCTCGTTCTTATCTGCAGTAAGAACCTTTGAGCCAGGCTAAATGGAGGGTGCAAACACTAAGACCTGCCTCAATAAACTAGGCTTTTGTAGTATAAAATGAAACCAAATAACTGTCAGATGAAAATTTAACACTTAGGTAGGATAACAGTATTCTCTTTCACTGAATCACATGCCTTATACACATGTAGCCCTTCTGATACCCCTCCTGTACTTACTGACCACAGAATTTTGTAGGGAATCAGCCAGCCCCAGGGACCCCCCTTTACCTACTTTGAATATATGGCCCACAGTAGCCTCATCTTGTCATTGCCATTCATCTCATCACTTCCTGTCTGATAATTCTCAGTGCTCATCCCTCTCACCTCCTCCAAGTCTAATAGTGTATACAGACAGAAAATACAAATGGGTTCCCTGCTCATGGACACCTTCAAGAAACAGCTCCAGAACCAGAGGAAGGCAGATCCCAAACAACTAGCTGTATTATAGAAGAGGGAATGACAAATGAGCTGGAGGGTGCATCTTGAGAAACCACTCACCATTAGAGCTGTGACTATCTGGGGGCACGTACGCCACAGCAAACTCGCCTTTTCTCCATCAAGTGGGCATTTGAGTAGTAGATTGAGTAGTCTAATGGCACACAAAACAACCTGAAACAAAAAGGCAAACTTTAGGACAGAAATAGCTAATCCCATAGGAAAGGAGATCCTCTTACGGGTACTAATGATAAAATGGAACCCTGTTATTGGGGACAGGAACAAGACCAGGTAAGGGTTGAGTTCTCAGACCAAAGGCCATCTTTCACTTTTGAGCACAGAAAGCAGATAGTGCATAATTCCAGCCTCATTACAATAGGTACAAGATTCGTCCAGGACAGCAAGCTCAGTGAAGGACAAAGAATGGTCTAATCATAGACCCCCCACTTTGCTAAGATACTGTCCACAGAGGATGCTATTCCTTCACTGATCAAGAACTATACAAAGGGGCTGGAGAGATGGCTTAGTTGTTAAGAGCACTGGCTACTCTTCCAGAAGACCTGGATTTGATTTCCAATACCCACATCATTGATTACAATCATCTAACTTCAGTTCCAGGGTATCTGATGCCCTCTCATGGCTCCTGCAGGTATAAGGCATGCACAAGGTGCACAGATATACATGCAGGCAAAACAACCATATATAAAAAGTAAAATTTAAAAACAAAAAACTACATAAGGAAAGGTTTAAAGGAAATACTAAGTGATATGCTATGACAGTAGGCAGCTTTTAAATCAGAGCACAAGCAGGCAAGGACCTACTTTTACTAAATGCTTCACAAACAAAAGCCTGGCCTCCTGCCCTGCTTCTCAGCTTCATAACAGCCTCTTTCTCCCTTAATACTGTGTGGATACTCACACAGCCCCAGCCAGATCCTAATTTCTGCCCTGTGCACTCTTCCTTTGTCTTCTCTTAACTGCACACACATGCAAATCTGACTGTTCTCAATTTCCTGCATACCTACAGGATACATCTATCTATTGAGGCTTGGTGCCCATTCATTTTCTCACTCCTGCACCAATAGACCAACACACTTTTAACCCATGCACACCTTCAAATTCTTCATTCTTCAATACTCAGTTCAAGTTTCCCTTGTTTATGAAGCCTTTATAATATTTAGCATCTCATGTAATAAGAGCACATTCGTTTAATAAAATCTTGAGGGCTATTTTCTCCCTCCAAGTCACTTGCCAAAAGCTCAGAGACCCACAGTCCTTCTCAAAACTAAGCCCCAATTATGGTATAAAGATACACAATGTGTTCCAAAGATAGGCAAGTGTATCAGGCAGCTAATGGGGATGGTGCAAGTACACGGGCTCATAAATATGGGTCTGAACTGTTCTTGTGCCTCTCCCCAGAATTCAGTTACCCCTTAATTCTCCTCCAACCCATATCAAAAACCCAATCCCAGGTATTTTTAATAGCAAGAAATCAAAAAGCCACTAATGAGGCTGGATATAATAGTAGTACACACCTATATTTATAGTACTTGAGAGGCTGAAGCAGGAGAACATAAATTCAGGACCCGGTTGCAATGGCAAGACCCTAGCTGGGGGTGAAGCAGAAGCAGCAGCCTAGAGCAATCTATGGAGGCCTTTTTCCTCAAGTGCCACTAGGAACATCTGACCAGACAGCACCCACAATCATCCTGACATGTGAGCTATGTAAGGCATTCTAAATGGAGGTGCACTGAGCTCATGAACTGAGAGCCCAAATGCTTCTTTTTTTCTGATGTTGGGATTTGAACCCAAGGCCTCATGAATGAAATACCAACTGAGCTATATACCCATAGTGTGTGGGTATACACATACACACACACACACACACAGAGAGAGAGAGAGACAGACACACACACATACACAGAGAGAGATACACAGACAGACAGACAGACACAGACACACACACACACTTCTTAAGTTCTGATCTACAGCTGTTTCATCAAGTACCTTTCAAAAAAGTTTATGAGGGCAATTCTTTGAAAAGCCCAAACACAGTGTCACATGTGTCTTATTTTCTCACAAGCATTTCTCACTCTTCATTCTTAACTTTCAATAATGTTTCCAAAACAACTGTGGTAGATGAAATGAACTTATAGACTTTTATAAATGGTCTTTATAATATTTAGCATCTCATGTAATAAGAGCACACACTTGTAATTCTGAAGAAATTCCCCTGTGAAAAATAAGGACTTTTCAGTGGAAGCTAGCTAGTCCACACTGGACTCCCTCCCACGGGTTCCTGCTATGCCTCCACTCTTAAGCAAATTTGTCAGTCTAATTTTAAAAGCGACATAAATTATCAAACAATCCTTCCTTTCACTTTGAGTGAATACCACTCTAGGCTTAAACAAAAGAAAGAAGCTATCCACCTGCAGATCAGACTTCCATGCCTGAGTGATGTCCAGCCCCTGAAGAATAGACTGTAGTACGATCCCAAAGTGCTCTGTTGTCCCAGCCTCAAACATCTTAGTGAGCAGGGCTTCTAAGTGAGGCTCAATATCCTGAGTGACTGGAGCAGGAATGCCTGGACCTGGAAGAAAAGAAGCCAAAACTGAAGATCTGACTGACAAGTGATAATGAACTACAAAGTGGTCATATGATGACACTATGCAGCCATTAATAACATGAGCTGAGGGATGTAATAGTACAACCTAATGGTGAAAAAAGCAGAATGGATGTCCATCGTGGTACCCTTCTCTTACCCAGAGCTGTACTTGTTTTTAATGCATGCACACAGAAAATGTCAATATGCTCAAATTAGCTGGACCACAGCAGACATGTGACTATTTTTATCTTTTAGCTCCCTTATATAATCAAGATGGGTGCAAAAAATACCCAGGTGAGGGGAGACAGACCGACCCTAGACTTTCTTAGAGGTCCTGATGAAAGAACAAAATGGGGTGATAGTGGTACACACCTTTAATCCCAGCACTTGGGAGACAGAGACAGGCAGATCTCTGTGAGTTCAAGGCCAGCCTGGTCTACAGAGTGAAATCCAGGACAAGCTCCAAAGCTACAGAGAAACCCTGGGGAAAAGAAAACAAAAAAACAAAAACAAAAACAAAAAAAAAAAAAACAAAACAAAAAAAAGGACAAAGTGAACAAAGTTCTGTATCCTTGTCCAGTAGTAGATTTGGTAAGGCTGGTATAAAACCAAATTCAATGCCTCAAGAGTCAAAGGTACAGCTTCTAGAGAGCCAAACTCTTTCCCCTGGGTTGTTGTTATCATCTTAAGGCAGCTGTGTCTGAGGTATCCAATGTTCTCTTTGCCAACACTGACTTAGCACTCTTCTAAACTTGGCCACCCACTCAATACCTAACCCTGCAAATAGTATATATGATGTTGCATCTCTTAATAAATTTGCTTAGCATAACTATTTTTTCTCTTTTTTATTTCTCATCCCCAGTCTTCCTACTCAACACCTCACTGTTCAGGTCACCCTGCTGGTTTTGATCACCCAGAAATGTTGAAAAGATAAAAAGAACCCTGACATTCCTGGGACTATCTACTTGGTTCATCAGGTATTTTCTGGAAGCTCTAGGCCCCACATTCTTACAATAAAGCTGAAGGCCCCTCAACATTGACATGTGTATCCTTCATATGTTTTAGACTGCCACATTAACACCAGAACATATTCTGCCTCTCAATCTGTATTATTTACGATCAGGAAGACAGAGACTGAGGGCTCTGACTGATTAAAGTCATAGGTTCATGTCTCCTACAACCTGTAAAACCCAAATTCACAGCCTCTTTCAGCCCCAATTTGCTCATCAGTAAAATGGACACATCACGTCAGATGCCTGTCACTGGCAAATAAAAGGATATAGAACCTACTGGACAGCCTCTTTAATAGGGCTTAATACCCACACTTGCCTGGCTGGACTTCAAGGCCACTTTCATTTGGCTTACGTGTATCCTTTAGCCCCAGTCCCACATTCAGGTTGGATTTTTGCATCCCATATTCTCTCCTCTGCAACCTCTATGGATATCTGCCCATTAATGAAGCCCAAATCAGCCAGATCAGATAATCCTATAAAAAAAAAAAGGACTAGCTCTAAAGCACTGGCTTCCCCGATTCCACTAAAGCAATCTATTCTATTGCCCAAATGCATTCTTCATAAAAGCCCCATTAGTACCACCGGAGGGCAAGGGCACCTCTACAAGCCGTTGTATTGCTAGAAGAAACCTTCATGTTATGTTCCTCCCTTCCTTCCCCAGTGCCTTGGGCCTCAATTCACTTGGTATTTCCTCCAGACTGCTTACTGTTCCAACACATCACTAGATAGTCTGACAGTTCATTTATGTAAACATGAAAGACTCACTGTATCTGAGGCCTCTGTTCCAGAGGTCTGGAGTACCACAGGTCCATGGATATAAAAGTGAGAGTTAGAACTGCCTCATCTCACTAGAGGTAAGAGGATGCCAAAGTTCTGCTTAACAAATGGACAACAGCCACAGCTTCAGATGCTAGCTGCCATCTTACGACACTCATCTGGAATGCTGTCATAAGCTTTAACAACACATTTGATGTTAGTCCCAGCAAGGGAAGCACCAATCCCTGAGTTATTAACAGAGAAAGATAGACCATCACAGTCAGGGTCTTTTTAGTTCATTCACACTTGAATCTGAGACAGAAAGGTCTTTGATAGAGAGACAACAGCAGCACTATTCAGTCCACACACCCGGATCTGGTACTGGCCCAGGAACAACAGGTGGCTTCACTTCCTAAGGGTCCCACACCCCAGTAGCTTCTCTATGCAAATCAACTCAGCACATACTCTATTCAGCCTATACTCTCCCAGCCCCCAACACTGCACTCTGAAGTCTAACCTCAAAAGACTACCTAATTTCTATTCTAGCCTCTCAGCCACCCCAAAAACTAAAAGTAAAGCCTCTGCCACCTGTGATATGTACTGACTAGATACAAGAAGACATCAGGTCTGTTCATCTTTATCTGCTTTGGGAAGAAACTCTATTTAATATATTTTTTTAAGATTTTATTTTTTTTATGTTTGGGTTTTCACACAAGGTCTCACTATGTACCCTTGGCCTGGAACTTGCTAGGCAGACCATGATAGCTTCTACCTCTGCCTCTGAAGTGCTAGGATTAGGCATACACCACCATTCCCTGCCCAAAAGAATAATTTTATACTGTATTTTTTGAACATTAGTATTTTTAGATGTTTCTAAATAATGTTTGTAACTATTTCAACGGCTACATAGGAATCCCTATACCTTTGAGATATATATATATATGTGTATGTATGTATGTATGTATACATATATACATATATATAAATAAATAAAACCTCAGGGTCAGTTCTGAACTGGAAGACATCGGCTCTCTCACTAATCTGTGTCTGAGGTCTTAGCTGCCTCAGAGTGATATTCATTAACAGAGATAACACTAGGTGAGCCTATTTTACTATACAGATGTTATTGATCACACTGAATTGGCTGCTGAGGAAAGCAGATTTTATGTAATTTTCAAAGTTAATCTACAGCACTATAGGCCTGACACAGGGGAGTTTCCCCAAAGTGAGATGATCCATTTGAGGCATCAGTGGCCAGAGCAAATTAAAAGACAAGAATAGGATCAGTAGACCTTAAAACCATGAAAGGGGGTGGAGAAATGGCTCAATGGTTAAGAATACAGAATATTCACACAGAAAACCTAAATTAAGTTTCCAACATCCATGCTGGGCAGTTTATAGCTTTGTAACTCCAGCTCCAGAGAATCAGCAAACCTCTTCCAGACTCTACAGGTACCTGCACTCATATGTGCACAAACCCATACACAAATATACAAATGATTAAAAAAAAAAAAAAAATCTAGGTGTAGAATTCAAGATGAGCCAGCCAGGTCTACTACATAATCAGTTCCAGGCCAGCCATTACATAGTAAGACTCAGCCTCAAATAAGCACAAATGCACACAAAATAATTCCTAAACTATGAGAGGAACTAAGAAAACATGAAGGGTATAGTGTGCACAGGGAAGGGAAAGCTGGAAAGGTGATTGCTTACATATATGCCAATACAGAAAGAGGAAATGATGTCCCAGATGCATGCTTTCTCATGTGGTACCTTCTGAGGCTGCCAGGTACTATGCTGTTCATGGGAACAGTCCCAGCCAGTTGTGGTGGTATACTCCGGTAGGATATGCTGAAGAGAAAGGCATGTGAAGCATGGTAACTTGGCTATGGAGGTCCCATTGACTTAAGCCTCTGCAGCACAGAATCAGCCCAGAAAGAAATACTGGGGCTAGAGAGATGTCTCAGTGGTTAACAACACTGGTTCTATGTTCAGAGGATCCATGTTTGATTCCCAGCACCAACATGCAGCTTACAACCATCAGTAACTTCAATTCCAGGGAATCTAACACTATCCTTTGGTTTGAGGACACTAGACATATACATGGTGTACAGACATACATACACGCAAAATATCCATATACACAAATAAATTAAAGAACAAAAACCTCACCTTACCTGTAAGAACTTTCCGCACAGAATAAAAGATGGAAGCAAAAACAGAGCTCTCCTTGGAATGGAGCTCTGGGGCCAAAAGGAACAAAGTCAGAAATTGCAAGGCTGCCTGGAAAGACTGAGTATTCCCCGACAGGGCTGGCAACTCCTCCAGCAACTGAATGTAGATATCCTGGTAAAGGGTCATGTGAGAAAGCAGTGTTCTATCTGTATCCACCACTTGGGCAATTTGGGGCTGTCCTTCCCTGAGGTGTTGGCTCAGGTCTACTTCTAAAAGTACAGGGACAACTGTGAGGAAGATTGAAGGCAGACGGTGGCCTGTTGTCCCAGGCACTAAGCAGAGCTGCAGCATGGCACCCATTTGCATCATGGCCTGCTGCAGCAGCTCAGGTAGTACTGCTGGTGCCTCCGGTAGCTGCCTCCGCTCCTTAACATAAGGCCCCAAACTTTGACACAACTTGGTTAGAGCCACCAGAAGCAGTTGCCTGCCCCGAAGACTCTGAATTTTCAATTCTTTGCTGGAAGCTCTCTTACTATACCTTGAGAGGAAGGCAGTGATTTTTCCAAAATTGAGCACCAAGCTCAGCTTTAGTTGGATAAGCATTTGCATTAACTGTTCCAAGAACGCCCCTGACATTTGAAGAAGCTGCAGCCAAGCAGGGTCATCCTCCCTAACTTGAATCTCAGTACTGGCTTGCAATAGTGAAGTCAGTACAACCTCAAATATATCACTAGCATACATGACCCTGAACACAGAGCGGGCATTCCTTCCCCTCTGCAGACCACTGAGGAGCCGGTAGCATGTCACCAAGAACTGGAGGGCTAGTGGGCAAGAGCATTGCCCCAATGTGGATAAAGCCATGGAGAATAGCAGGAAAAAAAAATGCAAGTGGTAAGATGGCAAGAGGCTGTCCAGACGAAGGGTGGAGATGACTTCCAAGAGCTCCAGGAGGTCTTTTAGCTGCTCTTCATCCAGCTTGATAGGAAAACCACTCTTGATCATGGATAGGAAATTCTGGGCAACTTCTCCTCTTGGTTCTACGCCTTCAGGTCCAACTTTTGCCAATTTGGTTTCCCAGTGAGACACAAATGTGTGGTAGTCCTTTTCAAAAAGCCAGGGAAGCTGCTGACTAATAAGACTCAGATCACTATGGGCACCAGAGCATAGAATGTTAGAACATTTTGCAATGATGCACATCAGGAAGGCAGAATAGAGGGACTGCATCTCCGGAAAGAGAGGGCTGTGAAGGAGGGCTGTGGATACTTTCTCAAGTGTGATATATGGCTCACCATGTACCTGGGCTTTATTTGTTGGTAAAGTTCTCAATAGGACAGTGGCCACATATCTCACATCATCCAAACAAAGGTAGGGTATTAAAACTGTGAGGTTTGAGACAATCAAGTGCCAATGTGCTACAGGATATGTGGACTCATTCATTGTCGACACCTGCCCATCCCAGGCAACTACTGTCTTCTGATTTAAACAGTCTCTACTAGAATCAAGAATGTGGGCAGTGTCATACCTCAAGGTGTGAAGGGCTTCTTTGGACTGGGAACTAGTCTGCATTAGAGTCCTTTTCACCTTTTGCAAGTACAGCTGTTCTAAGCAATACCTACTGAGAGACCTGGACTGGGCTATACACTTTTCCACCTTCTTCCAAAGCTGTGTTTCCACACCTGGTAGCAACAAAGGGAGGTTTGAGATATCCAGAGCAGCCCCAGATAGGTGCCCTGCCAGAGAATAATACTGGCTGCAGTGCAAACTGAAAGTAGTGTCCACTTGAGCCCAGGTGTAAGAGAGTAAGAGTGCAGAGTCACTCACCTTCTGCTGCCACAGCTCAGGCTCTGGGCTCCAGAGGTCCAGGAGAAGGCCCAAAAGGGGCTTTACAAGCTCTTTCAGCATCCTCTCCATTATGCACTGTGTCCTTCTGATAATAGGCAGAGGCATGCTGTTGTCCAAACTGGGCATGTTGAACATGATACAGTGTAGCAGAGAGCTCAGTGACAGTGCCTTCAAAGCCATGTCAGTATCACTCTGCAAACAGGGCATGACTAAAGACTGGAACTTATCTAGTACAAGGGACCATGTATCCAAGATCTGACTCAGTGGCAGCTCCAAAAGGCATGCACACAGAGCCATAGAGGGACCTGAAGCAAGCAAAGGCTGCCTCAGTGCCTCAGCAGCTGGACGGCAGATCACTCCCAAAACCTCCTCAAACAATCGTGGCATCTGTCGGAGCTTGGCATATGTCTGGAAGACAGTGTTAATAAGTACCTCCTGGGCTTTTTTGGCTCGAAATTCTGTTACTTCTGCATCAATCCAAGCTGAAGACAACAGGTCATCCAGGTCTGGCTCTAAAATCAAATGATTCAGAGACATCAAAATCTTGAGGCAGCGAAACCAAGCTGGCACAGGTGCTTGTGAATGGCTGATCAGCAGCTCAGCCACACGTCGATAGAAGTGAAACTGTGCCTCCCCATGCCGGATCCTGTCAGCAGCCACATTGTAGATGTTGTTGGTGGCCACTGAGTTTAGCAATTGCTCTATAGCCAGAAGCTCTGTGGTCCAATCTGATAGGGCTTCCATCTGCCCCCCTTGCAGGTGTGAAATTTGCAAGCAGCCAAACAACTTGGGAAGAGCCTGAAAACAGAGAAACTGGGTTTCTTCCCTAAGGTATGAGTCCAGAAAGAGTCTGTACAATAAGGACACTGAGTTGGCCACAACCAAAGCATGTAGGTCTGACTTGATGTAGTCAGGCTCTACCAGCCTTGTAATCACAGTTTCCATTGGAGTGAGAAGACTCTTCAGAGCCCCCATCTTTACATTCTCTTGGTGCTGTTCCAAGAGCTCCTCTTTATAGGATGACAGTAAATCATGTCGAAAAACACCACCTCGAAGAACACTGTCAATCTTACTCCTGATATCTCGGCTTAGTACCTGCCGTAGCTGGCCCTGACCAGCCTGTGTCCATGTGCCCCCAAAAAGCAAATGTCTCAGGACTAGGCAGGGTTGGAGGAGGTGGCCAGTCATATCCCCAAAGACACGTCTAGGGTTGGCTTGTTGTTGCTGAAGCTTGAGGTAATGGTCAAGAGCCAGATGAATGACCTCAAATAGCTGGGGTGTCATGGTTCCTTCTGGCTGTCTGCAGACTGACCAGCAAAGCTGGCTCAGCAAGGCCACAAGCAGCTCCGGTTTAGCTGTATAGATGACAGCAAGGGCAGGTGCTGAGAGAATGCCCTGGCAGCAACTCAAGATGGCACAGATATTCCTCTGGGATTCTGAAAGTGAGAACTCTGCTATTCTCTCATTTATGACCTAAATATTAAGAAAGGAAGAAAGAAAGCTCATGACTACCCTGAAACTACACTTACTCAGAAAGTATGAATCAATCATTCCTTTCCCATTTTGATGAGAAACACCCAGTTCTACCTCCAACATGAACTTAATACTTAATGTGTCAATAAAAGACAAAGTATGTGTTCTACTTCCTTCATACATCCATCTCCTGTTAGTATCAATTCTGAAAAGGTTTAATGCCTTTGTAAATTTGTCACCCAATTCCAAAAGGCTTTGCAAAGCTTAAAAGTTAGTAGTCAACTTTTTTTCTTATTTATACACACACACACACACACACACACACACATATCCTACCACAGCCTCCTCCCCCTCCACTCCTCCCAGCCCCCTCACCTCCGATCTCTCCTTTTCCTCAGATCTACTGCTCCTGTTTCCCTTCAGAAAAAACTGGGCATCTTAGGGATATTAACCAAACATGGCATAATAAGATACAATAAAAACTAGGTAAAACCCCTCATATCAAGGCCGAATGAGGCAACCCAATAGGAGGAAAAGGTTTAGAACCTAAATCTTTAACTAATCTCAATTATCAGGTAGCACTTGAGTCATGACCCTGTGGCCCTATATACATATTTATAGTCATTACATTTTCCCATTAAAAACATCAAGGTGGGGCTACAGATATAACTCCACCGGTAGAGTGCTTGCCTAACACGTTTAAAATCCTATGTTCAATCCCCATCACTACATAAACTGAGGGTGGGAGTGCATGCCTGTAATTCCAGTACTCAAGAGGAACAGGCAGAAATGATCAGAAGTTCAAGGTCATCCCTCAATTACATAGCTAATTGGATGCCAGCCTATGACAGAGAGTTCTTTTTATCATACATCAGAGAAATTGTTTTCAACTCTCAAAATTCCAAATTCAAACACAAAAGCAGGCAGATCCCAAAATTTACTGTTAGACCTGTGACTTGCTTCCAGCCTTATAAGATCTAACAATCAAAGCTGTCTGTGCTTTGCTATTATAAAGTGCTATTATAAAGTGCTAAGCTATTATAAACCACATGAAACAATCATTATTTCCACTCAAGTACTGGCTTAAAAAATAAGTTGTAGCCAATATGCTGAATCCAAAGATGTCAACATATCACCAGCAGCTTCCAGGTATTTTGTTAAATAGACTAATAAAAAAAAATCTTTTCCACAGACTCCAAATTTTGTGTTCAAGTTATTTATGTATTCTTCAGTAATATTTTATATAACTATAAGCATACATTTATTTTAAAAGTTATAATACAATTTCTTAAATATAAAGTTACTCTTGATCTTCCAGTTTTGCCTTGAAGGACCACTTAGAATGACCCCATTATTTAATAGTGACACAATGAAGGGTGTGGTCTTAAGAATTACTGGCAGCTTATCTACTTCCTTGTTCTCTGTTCTGTTCTATTCCATTCTGAACAGCTCTACACCCAGGCACATCTAGTTTCAAATCCCAATACTGCTACTTACTTACTGTTCATATGATGGCCAGTTATATCCTTACACCCTTTGATCCTGTCATGTACTAAATGCTCATTAGTACTGGTTCTTAATGGCAATTATTATAAGGATTCAGGCATTTTGCTGGCCTGCCCGTCACCTGTCAGAATACATTCAGGCAGTACTCTGGTCAGCCCAGGGTACTATGAGTTCTAGTCTGCAGGCAGGTGCAAAGGATCCCTATAAAGAATAAAAGACCTCTGCCCATTTACATTCTCTCTGCGGCTCTTCTCTCTCTCTCTCTCTCTCTCTCTCTCTCTCTCTCTCTCTCTCTCTCTCTCTCTCTCTCTCTGCTCTCCTCTTTAGCTCTTTCTGCTCTCCTTGTGGCTCTTCTCCCTCTCTGCTCTCTTCTCTTTCTGCTCTTTTCTGGCTGTCTTCCCACTCTCGCCATTCCCCTGGGGCTATCTCCCTCTTCTCTTCTGTCCTCTCTGTATCTTTTTACCTCTTTTTCCTTCCCCATCCCTCGCCTTTCTAATAAAACTTCTCACTTAAACTCTGTCTGCCTAGGGTGTTTGTCCCTCCACCTCAGTCACCCTTACCCTCCAACCCAAGGACCCCCTAGAACTTTATATCATTGGTGCAAATCAACAATTATTATGACATTTAAAAATACTGTTTTGACAATGAAGTTCAGACTTCTGTGATTTTAATCAAAAACTTTTGAGATAATTTCTGTCCAGATTATCTTTGATCTCCCTCCAGAAAATTTCATCAAATATCTGTGTGTGTCAGTGTAGTTATAATACCTACCTTTTCAGTTAAAAAGGAATAAAGCTGGCTCTAATGGTACACACATGTAATCTCAACACTTGGGTATACAAAGCAGGAAGAGTACGAGTTTGAGAACAGATGGTAATAAAAACTTGTTCATAGGCCAGAAATAGTGGTACATGTTAATCACAGCACTCGGGATACAGAGGCATGCAGATCTCTGAGTTCAAAGCCAGCCTATCTACATAGAAAGTCCCAGGACAGCCAGGGCTACATTTAGAGGCCCTGTTTCAAAACTATAATTTTTCATTTTTGCATACTATTACTTCTTCCTCCTCCCTCCCCTAACTTGACATTTCCCACATATTCACATTAGTTGATTCTGAAACAAGTTTAAGCAGTAATAAGAAATTAACAAAGATGCACATAAAACAAGTCAACAGAAGAGACCATTATTTACCTTTACAAGGGAAATCTGAAGATTTACAGTCTTTCCATTCTTTAGGAGATTCTGCAACTTTCTACTATGTAGAATGTTATCTACATAGACCCAGAGCTTTTCAACAACATCTTCTTGCAGTTCAAGTTTTTTCTTATAAAATGCAACCAATGTCTGTCTTGCCCAATCAAGTAAAACCTGGATTTGTAGAAAATATACTATGTAAATGAACTTCTTACAGGAGAGGAAGATTTTCAGCATTATAAGGACATCTAATCATGACCAAATTCTATTTGGAAAAAAAACAAAACAAAACAAAAACCAACTTTTCTTTAAAGCATGTCTATAATTTCAAATAAACACATATATTCTCTTACCATTCTCCCCCTTTCCTGTTACAAAACCTCTTGCTCCTCTTATGGTCTTCTTCCTAGTCATGACCTGTATTCACATTCACACCCATATACATAAATACACATGCATATATGTATACACACATGTATACATAGAAATATATGAATATGCAAATATATGCACACATAAATAATAAATTAAAACTATATTCCCATATGAAATAAAACATGGGATATTTTTTCTTTCTAAATCTGGATTATTTAACTTATAATGATTTCCATATTCATTCATTTTCCAGGAAAATTTGCAATTTTGTTTTTCTTTTTGAGTAAAATGAGGTGTCAGAGGAATAGGGAAAATGCAGAGAGGATTTTTTGTTGTTGTTGCTGTTTTGTTTTTTGAGACAAGGTTTCTCTTTATTGCTTTGGAGGCCAGGCTGGCCTCTAACTCAGAGATCTGCCTGCCTCTGCCTCCCGAGTGCTGGGATTAAAGGCATGTGCTACCAACGACAAGCTGGGAGAAGAGGATTAAGCCAAACCTTATTGTGTATAAAAATGCTGTAATGAAACCCATGACTTTGTATGATAAATAAAAAAATAAAACAAGAACAAAGATGATAAATAACAGATAATGTACAAAAAGAATCTAATAAATTTACTATTTTATAAAAAAAAAAAAAAAAAAAAAACATTGTCTGCAGTATCAGTTACCACTCAGGCCAAACAGGAGGAGCACTTAGTCAATGAGTTCAACATGAGGTAAGACTGAGCAATATATCAAGATCTTATTTGAAATAAATAGGCTTGAATATGGTTACACATGGCTATTAATATCAGTATTTGGGAAGCTGTGGTCAAAAGTTCTCAGTTCAATGGCAGCATGAGATATATAGTGAAAGCATTTGCTTTTTAAATCCTCACTTGTATGTTACACAATAATGTATGTTTTGAAATCTTGAAATGTTGATTAAGGAAAAAGGAAAAACAATGTTGTCTTAGTCTGGAGTCATTGAAAAGTTTCAGTAAAATGAACATCATTCAATGGCCTTTTCTAAGAGAAAACAATAAATGTTCACAATGACCACAGAAGGGCTCACATATGCAAATCAAAATATCAATGAAGGGCCAGTGGTCGTGGTGGTGGTGGCATAAGCCTTTAATCCTAGCACTCGGAAGGCAGAGGCAGGTGGATCTCTGTGAGTTTGAGACCAGCCTGGTCCACAGAGAGTTCAAGGACAGGCTCCAAAAGCTACAGAGAAACCCTATCTCAAAACAAAAAACAAAAAATAGCAGTGATAAGAGAAAAAAAAAAAAAAAAAGAAATGATTGTCAGAACACTAAGATATTATCCTAATTTTCCCAAGAAATGTGCAGTACACCTTCTAAATCTATGGCTTAGGAGACATAAGCAAGGCAAACTGATGTACAAGGGCTTTATGAGAAAGAGGGTTGTACACATGTACCTTCTATTATTACAACATGTTTACTCAAGCACAAAACACTGAGAAAAGTTGGGTCCTCAGCTCCCAAAACTGTGTGTGCATGTGTGTTGTTGTTGATGATGGTGATAATGATGGAACCTCAGGCTTCAGGCAAGCTTGGCGAACACTATGAACTGAGTTACACTTAGTCTATCCAAGCCTTCAGCTTTACTCTCCAGTACTATCAATATGTATGAAGAGTGACTGATGCTAAAAGGAAAAAGGATAAGAACAGCCTGCCAGGATTACCCTTTGTTTCATATTGTGCAGTGCTTACCAGGGAAATACCAAGCTACTAAGCAGATTCAAATGTACATAGTAGGTGTGGAAACTAGTAGGTCAACTGTTCTACACCCTACATCTCATAACTACTCTAACAATTATAATACATTTCTGGTACATCTCATGGTGCCTCCTTTAAAACCAGCATTGGGATGTATGTCAATCCAATTCCATAAGCCTGTCGTCCTACTATAGTTGTATTATTTACTTTTTAGCCACAGAAGCTTAAGAAATATTAATAGAACAACATTATACTTAGTACCCCTCTAATTTTAGTTTGGCCTTATAAAAAGACTAATACTCCCCAACTTCCCAACCTTCAACCTAGCAAACTGAAAGATCTCACTACTTTTTCAGTGACATGATTTTTAACTCCCAATGAAGTTTCCTCCCTAACCTGTTTTCTAATCTTTTAAAAAAAAAAAAAAGTCAATATCCAAGTTGTACATGTAATTATTTTAAATCATAAAAAAAATCTAAGTTTTACATTAAACTTACTTGTTCTTTATTTGGTAGAAAGCACTGATGGGAAATCCAAGCAAAGTGAGCTAGTTTTAGTTTATCTTCCCAGGAAGTTGTCTTGCTTTTAAGCTTAAAGGAAATGCCAGAATAAACAGCAGCCATAGCTACATGTATTCTACAATTAAAAAAAAAATAAACAGTATTATAATAAAGCCTAACTGAAAAGGCATCAGAAAATGAACACTATCTTTTTAAAATTATTTATGTATATGGGCCTGAGTATATGCATGCAAGAGCCCAAGAAGGTCAGAAGAGGGCATCAGATCCCTTGAGATTGGAATGCAGACTGCTGTGAGGTAGCTACCTACCACATAGGTGATAGAAATTGAACCCAGGTCCTTTGGAAGAGCAGCCAGTGCTCTTAACTGTTGAATCATCTCTTCAGTCCCTCACTATATAACTTATATATGGGTACAATTAGGAAACAAAGGAGGCAGGCAGATCCCTGGGAGCTTGAGGCCAGCCAAGAATACATATTGAGACTCTGTCTCAAATTTTTATGTTTATTATATGTATACATACACACACATTTAATTTGAACTTTAATTTCAGCAAAAGCAGGCAGACGATTATAAATACTGCTATTGTGATCACACATCAGACACTTAGAATTTATAGGATTTCAATTAGACAAAATCAAAATGTATACATTACTCACAGAATGATTGTCACCTTACATGATTTAAGATTAAAAGACGTTTCAGACCATAACTTGCTTCTAAAATGTATTGGGTATCAGGATTAGCTGTATTAAGTAAGCAAATAAGCAAGCAATACAGTACTTGAAGAAAGTAATATTTCTCCAGGGGAAAAAGAAATCAGATGTTGAAGCTGAGAAAATGTCTTGGCAATTAAGAGCACTTGTTATCTTTTTTTTTGGGGGGGGTTCAAGACAGGGTTTCTCTGAGTAACAGTCCTCACTGTCCTAAAATTCACTCTGTAGACCAGTCTGGCCTGGAACTTAAAAAGATCCACCTGCCTCCCAAGTGCTGTTATTAAAAGAATGCACCACCACCGCCCAGCAGAGTACTTGCTACTTTGATGGAGGACCTGAGTTCATTTCCTAGCACCCACACAGCAGCTCACAACTATCTGTAACTCAATTTCCATGGAATTCTACATCTTCTAACCTCCCCCAGGCTCCTGCATGCATGAAAAATAAACAAATAAATAAGGCAGGCATTAATTTCAATAGAAATGCTGATATTTCTACTATAACAGGTAACTTCTCACACTCAAAGCTACTTTAGACTATAAAACATATACACAACTTTTTTAAAAACTGTGATAATAAAACTCTAAGTAACAAAGGGAGAGCATATACATTAACAGCCTACAATTATTATAAAACCCAGAAAAGGCTTTTAAGTTTCTTAAAGGTCATAAAAATTTGTCATTTTCATTAAACAAATTAGCTCAAAAAAGATAAACATTCACCGTACTACTGCGTGAAGTAGAGAGCCTTCAGCACTGAGAAGCATCCCTTCCTGTTGTTGCCCTCAAAATTCCTAAGGAGCTAGGGCAGCAGTTTCTCAGCCTGTGGGTAGCGACCTCCAAAGGGTATCATTAGCAGATATTTACATTATCTAAACGCTAGGAAAATTAGTTGTTAAGTATTAACGAAATAACTTTGTGGTTGGGGGTCATCACAACAAGAGGAACTGTATTAAAGGATCGAAACCGCTGTTCTAAGGCCTGGAGAAATGGCTCAGTGATTAAGATTACTTAACTGCTTTTCCAGAGATAGCCACACTCGATTCCCATACCCGACATTGTGGCTCACAACCACCCGTAACTCCAGTTAGACCTGACGCCCTCTTCTAGCCTCTGCAAGTGCACGTACAAGCAAAACAAAAGGTTCTAGATTGATACCCTCAAATCCTTCTACCTCGGACCGGAGTACTCTCAGGACCCGGCTCTGTCAAGTAGGACTCCCCTAGTTCTAAGATCCCTTAGATCGGGGCGCTCTCTCTCAAGTCGGACTCTCTAAAGCGGGGTTCTCTGTTCAGGGTTCTGTCATGTGGCGCTCTTTCAGAGCCGAGTTCTCCTCAAGGAGGGTTCCCTCAGGTGGGAGAACCCCCAGGAAGAATTACCTCAGATGGCGGGAAATCCCTCAGGCAGGGCCTCCTCAGATCCAGTCTCTCCAGAGGGGTTCCCTCCAGTCGGGGCTGGGACCTGGATCTGCCAAACTGACGTTTCAAGGCAAAAACCAAACTCAACGCGGCATTCACCTGGGACCTCCAGGGCTCCTAGGCACACGTGGGGGAGGCGCTTCCGGCAGACGTCGACGCCAACGGCTCGGGGCGGGGAGGGGCGTCACGCAGACATCGCTAGCGGAGCGCCGAGTGCGCCCTGGCCGCGGCGTCGCGCGTCCGCGGCCTAGCCCGGCGTGCCCGCTCCGTCAGGCGGTCATGGGGCGGCCACCAAAAACCGCGGGCGCGGTAGGACGTAGGGCGCGGGGACCCGGCTAGCCGGCCGCGGTACGAAGTCCTGCGGAGGGCAACCGATACGGAAGCAGCCGGAGCCGGGGCGGCGGCGGGGCAGCGGGAGCCGCCTGGGATGTTCAGTGAGTGCGGGCGGGGCGCGGGGAGGGGGGGAGGGGACGCGGGGGAGGGGCTTCGGGCGGGCGGCTCCGCGCCTCCCGCTCGCGTGCGCGCGCATACCTGCGCAGGCCCGAGCGACCCCGCACGTGGCGGCCCCGGCTGCACGTTCCCGGAGACCCCGCGGCCCCGCCGGGCGCCCTCGCGCGGAGCCAGCCGCGAGCTCACGAGGGCGCTCGGCGGAAGTGGGCTGCAGACGGCCGGCTCCCGGCTGCCGCCGTTGAGTCGCGGCCCCGCGGACCTCGCAGGCGCTGTGGCTCCGGCGTCGAGAGGTGAGTCCCCCTTTGCTGGGACCCCGGACTCGCAGGTGGATGGCCTCGGGTTTCCCGGGAGTCGGGACCAGGTGTTTGGAGACCCGCTCCAGCCTGGTCGGCCGAACTGGAAAGTGAAGTAGGAAGGGATTCCGCCTACTCCAGGTTAAAGACTTCTTGGCAGCTGAAACTCGGAGGGGTGAAATGTCAAGGATGGAGTTGGTGACCGCAGAGGTTAGGACTGCAGCCATGTAGCAGCTAGTTAGCTGCCTCGGTTTCTCCTTCTGTAAAATGGGATGGTAATTTAAGACTAGACTCAGTTGGTAGTGATGGCGCACTCTGTAGGGTAAGGCAGAAAGACTGCTGCGAATGCCTGGCCATTCTGGTCTACAGAGTTGAGTTCTGGGCCAGTCTGAGCTACAGAGTGAGACGTGGTCTAAATATATATTCACATATATGTGAACTTTGTTTTGTGAATTAGAAAGCGAATATTAAGCGAAAAACACCGAAGTCACCCTGTGCCTTCAGTGCTTTGCCATCAATAACAAGTTAAGTTCGTGTGTTTTGGAACAGTTTTTTGCAATTGTGTGTACCTCTGTCACTGTGAAGAGAGGTGAAGACCTCTCCTGACTGCTTGGTAGCTGATTATTTTAGTTGTTTCTCCCCTCTGTAAGAATCTGAGAAAGACATCTGGAGACAGAGGAGGGGGCTTTGCCTTTTTTTTTTTTTTTTTTTTTTTTTGACTTGTTTTAGCTTGATCTTGTGTGATGCCAGCACTATTCACTGCACAGTACTTGAAGTCACGTTTCCAGCCTTCCACATAGCCATTGGCATCTCAAGTGGCTAACTTCCAGGTGCTCATTCTCAGGGCAAGCATCAGTGAGTGGTTGCCCTTGAACTCCCAGAGGAGTCCAGTATGGGATCCGTGGAGCTTGGGGTGCAGTAAAGAGTGTAGGTTCAGATGCTGCATCCAGATGACTGAGTTCTCATCCAAGAACTGCATCACTACTCTGGGCCTGAGCTCTCCCATCTGAAAAATATCACCTCCCTAGTAAAGCTGTGGGTAAAAGCAGACAGTATGTGGGAAGTAGTTAAGATAGTGTCTAGCAATGGAATATGTTAAGTAAATGTTAGGTGTCAATAGTAGTTCGAGAAACACGGTAATATTACATATATATGGAGGTGCTCCAGGCTGAGCATCAGGATTGCCCAAGCCAGGTGAGCATTTGTGAGGAGGGTGCTTCCATCTGTTGGAGCCTACATAAAAGGTGAGAATGCCCGTGGAACCTCAGTAAAGTGAGAACTGAAAATCTGTTCAAGTGGGTAAATGGGCAGTTCAGAGCAACCTTAGATGACACCATTGGGGTTTGGGGGGGTTGTTTGTTTGTTTTTTTAGCTCCACGCCAGTGACAAAAATAACTTTTAAAATGAATGTATCACATTAGTTTTTTGGAAAGAATGCCTGTAGAAGAGTGGTGTTGGGTTGAAGTAGAGAAGGCCATCCCTACTTCTGCATCTAGCTTAGTACAGGTAGGCTTTTTAATCTAAATTTTAAAGCTTAGAGAACATTCAAGCAAGGCATGAAGAAACTATAGGTTATTCTAGACAGTATTCTTTCCTAAAAACCATATTTTGTTGTATGTCATGTACCAGGTAAGAAGGCTGGTTTCTCCTAGAAGTCTCCCTGTGATTAGAGGGTGTCGTTCCATGTTGTGGTTTCTGCCACCAAGCACACTTGGTTGTTTCTCCAACACCAAGATTATCTTCAGGAGGGCATATCAGTCTGAAGCACTCCCAGTAGTGCTGATTTGGGACTTTTATTCAGTATCATCAAATCAGTTAACAAAAGAAAAACAAAAAAGAAATGTATCTAATGATTGCTAGGGTCAGAGAGCACAGGAGTAGATCACATGTAATATACAGAAAATAATCTGGAAATGGTGATTTATTCTTGTGATCCAAATGTATTGGAGGCAGTGGCAGGAGGTAAGAAAGTTCAGAATCAGGCTGGCTGTGTACAGAGAGTTTAGGCTCTGACTCGGGAAAAATACTGTAACAGATGAATGAAAAAGTGCTTTTGGCTGGTGATGGTGGTGCAAACCTTTAATCCCAGCACTCGGGAGGCAGACACAGGTGGATTTCTGAGTTCAAGGTCAGCCTGTTCAAAACCAAGCTAGCTTAGACTGAGATTTCCAGCAGGTAAGGCTATGTGAATTTGAAAATTCAAGAAGTACAGTGAGGACCCAGGATAGCTTAGTGG